ACCATCATCATCATCGTTGTCATCGTCGTCGCCACCATCATCATCATCAGCATCATCAGCAGCATAATCATCATCCTCATCATCATCAGAATCATCGTCATCATCAGCAGCATCCTCATTATAAGTATCATCATCAGCAGCATCATCATCACCATGATCATCATCGTAATCGTCATAATCATCATCATCATCTTCATCCTCATCACATCAGCATCATCAGCATCACAATTATCATCATCACCATCACCATCATCGTCATCCTCCTCATCATCATCATCAGCATCATCATCATCCTCATCATCATCATAATGACCATCATCATCGCAGTCACCATCACCATCACCATCACCATCATCATCACTATTATCATCATCGTCATCATTATCATCCTTATCAGCATCATCATCATCATCATCATCATCATCATCATCATCCTCATCATCCTCATCATCCTCATCATCCTCATCCTCATCCTCATCATCATCAGCATCATCCTCATCCTCATCCTCATCATCATCATCAGCAGCAGCATCAGCAGCATCCTCGTCATCCCCTCGCCTCGTCCCTTGCCCTCCCCCTCTGCCAGGAGGTGCCAGGAGGTGCCGGAAGAACCCACGCCGCCCCCCACGGGGCACCGGGCCGTCCACGGGCAGCAGCACGCCCGCGCCCGCGCCAACCTCGGCGGGAGGCGACCCGCTCGTCTGCGAGGCCGGGGCCCGCGGGCCCCTGGGAGGGAGCCCGCAGAGGACGCGAGCGCCCGACCGCCCCCCTCGGCCGCGCCGCCGAGGCTGTGGCGGCGAGGCGGGGCCCTCGGGCCGCGGAGGCGCCCCGGGCCCGGAGGGCCCCCCGGGAGCTCCTTGAGGAGGCCCCCCGCGGCCTCCAGGGAGCACCCCTCGCGAGGCGGCGCGCACGCTCGAGGCCAGCGTGTGCAGAGGTGCGTGTGCGTCCTGCTGTTCTTCCTCGCCCCGGGCATGTGGAGAGCCGCTCCCCCGCGGGGTCGGGGCCCGCGGGGCCCTCGGGGGTGCGGGGCGGGCGGACGACGCGGACGTGCGCGCTGTGGTCTTGTCAGTCCGTGGCCTCATAGGTCCCGACGGCTTCCCCGGGGAGACGTGCCCTGACTTCGGATCCGCCGTACCTTTGGTTGTGCGTCCGACCCGGGAAGTGGGAAGAAGCATTGCGGCAATGTCCGCGCTTAGAAAAGTAGGGCGAACATTCCCTCAAAAGTATGGCGGAAACGGCGACTGGCAACGACGGGGAAAATCTGCATCAAAAAAGCGTGAGAACCAGGCGGATATTTCCGCCGTGTTTACGAAATCGACCCAAAGCACGGCGGATCCGGAGTCCCAGACCCCCGACGTCGTAATTTGTTCACAACATCGACCCCCCAGAGGTCTGGACCCCTCCCCCGGGACAGGCTTTTCGTCCTGAGTCCTTTCTGACGCGCCCAGGGCCCGATCAGGCCCCCAAGAGGCCGAAAACAACGAAGGACCTCGCGTCGTGATTTTTCCACAGCGAGAGGGGGTCTGGGGTCGGGGATGGTCGGATCCACTGGATACATTTTTGATCCGCGGGCCGAGAGCGCACCTCTTCCGGTCGAAGCGAAGCGGGCCGCGCACAGCTTGAATAAAAGAGAGGGGGGCAGAAGGAGGGGCCTCACATCCCAGACCCCCGACGTAATGATTTTTTCATTACGTCGACCCCAGAGTTCTCGACCCCTTCCCCAGGACCGGTTTTTCATCCTGAGTCGTTTTTTGACGCTCCCGAAGCCCGGTGAGGGCCCCCAGAGGCAGAAAATGTACAAAAACCTCCCGTCATGATTTTTTCATTACCCGAGGGGGTCTGGGATCAAGGCCAGGAAGATCCACTGGATACGTGTAATGCGGCGGTTCCAGGATGGGGCCCCGACCCAAAAGGCCCTGCTCGGGTCGTGGCAGAAGACGACGGGGTGGTGCTCTGCTGTCGCTGGCCTCTGGACGCCCTCGCCGAGACCCGAGGACCGTCAACAGAGGCACGCAGGAGGAAGAAGCGGCCCTGGGGGAGGGGTCGAGACCCCTGGGGGCCGAAGATATGGGGAGGGGAAAAAGTAATAACAAGAATACGAATGGTAAAAATAAAATTAATTAATTCAGTAATACATATATATATATACATACAAACAATACGTAAGTATGAGTAATGCTATTATTGTATCCTGTAATGTGTATTTAAAATGCTTTCTTCTGTTGGAAAATATCTGAAGAAAAACAAGTCGAGGGTCTGGTGAGGGATGGGGCCCTCAGGATAGGACGGGGCCCCAGGTGGAATGTACGTTGCTCGAGGGCTCGCCCTCGGAGCCCCATCGCTCGGGGCCCCGTCCTCGAGCTCCGACGGTGCTCCTCCTCATGGGCTGTCCGGCCCTGTCCCCGGCATCCGCCGCTGAGTTGTCTTCCGCCCGCGGCGCCAGCGAGGTCCCGACCGCCTCCGCGGGGGGCACGCACAGCCATCGCGCTACCGGGAGGGGCGCCAGAGGGGGAACGAGGGGGCCTTTCTGGTGACGGCGAGCCTCGGCCAAGCGCAGGTTCCCCGATCGAGACCCGAGGAGCAGCCCGAGAACCACAAGCCCCTCCTGGCCCCAGAGTGGTCCCGGCCCCACTTTTGATGGCCCCGGGGCCCGAAGACAGCCCCCGAACGACACAAAAAAAACACAACTATGAAATACCACGTGAAACCGGCTCCAGAACAGGAGCACACCGTGGACGGATCTATCCTTTCACCGATCTTGTACTGCGCCGAACGCAACGGCCGTCTTGTCTATAGACGCATCCATCCCGAATGCATGTGTATGTATACATATATATATACATATATGTATAAATATGTATATATATATATAAAGGACATCCAATGTGACCATAGACGCTTGTGGCTACAGTCGGTCCTGCTTAATCGTTCACGTTCGTCCCCCCCGTGGTACCCCTCACAGGGATTGCTCCAAACTGGTACGTCGTTCCAGCTTTCCCTGGCGGGCTCGGTACAGGCCCTGGGGACTGGTTGTCTAGAGGCAGGAGGGCGACGAAAAGAAAGCGGTCTTACGCGACATAGCATAGCGACCTTACGCTGCGGCTTACGCGGTCCGCCAGCGCGGCACGCCGTACTGGAAGCGAGGGAGAGCTTACGCGCGACCTTACGCGGGCAGCTTACACGCCAGTGTCGGCGCAGCCGAGCCCGTTATACTCTGTCGCTCAGGTTGGGCGCGAATTCACGGGGGGCGATACATGGGGGGCAGCGAGGGCTGCAGAAAACAGGCCCTCGAGGGCCCCTACAAGAGGCCCTTGCAGGCCAGGCCCCAAAGGAAGCCTTGAGGGCCCGAAAAGGGCACCTCTCTTCCCCCCCATTGATCGCCGCCCCATTAATTCGCGCCCAGTCATTGGCGGCGCGCAGAGGGGGGCAGGGGGAGGGGGGAAGGCTTCTTAGAAGGGGGCTGCTCCTCAGAGGGCGCCGGCCTCGCATCCACAGACAGGGCCCGCGCCTTCTAAGAGGCCGGGGCGCTGCTAAGACGCCTTTCCCCCCTCCCCCTCTTCCCCCTCTGCGCGTGGCCAAAATCGGGTGGACCTGTCTGTCAGACGGCCGCCGGCCGAAAAAAAAAAAACGGCCGGGCCGCCGACGGCCTCCAGGGCCAGCGACCCCAGCAGCAAGGCGGAGGCGCCCAGCGCCCCCGCCGCCGCCTCGCTCGCGCGCAGGTGGCCCTGGGCCAGGAGGTGACCCCTGGTGCGCAGCTCAGGGGCACCGTTGAGCCCGTCCTTTAAAACGACGCGAAGATCCGGACAAAATCGGATCGGGATAGCTCGAAATCTCTGAGAATCGGCGGGTTTGGAGGATGAATTGGGCGCCGCGGCCGCTCCAGAGCGTTCCGGAACGCTCTGAGAGCGCTCCGGAACGCTCTGGAGCGATTTATCCCGATCCGAGCCTTGTTTTATCCCTGCCCCCACTGGCGCGTCCTGGGCATCACTGGCCGACCGGACCCCCCCGGCGGGGGTGTCGGCTGTGTCCTGCGGGTTTGCAGGGGGCATCTCCCCAGCTGGGGTGGTGGGATGGCGGGGACGGGGACGGGGATGGGGATGGGGATGGGGATCGGTTGGAAAGGGTACTGAGCTTTAGGGGGCCGCGGGCGGGCCAAATCCAGACGCGCTGGCCAGTGCTTGCGGAAGCCCTGTGGGCCCGCACATGACCCAGACCTCCGGCGCCTCGACCTTCTGCGAGCCACAGAGCCCCCGACCTCTCGACGCCTGCCCTGGGACCGGCCCTTCCTCCCAGGCCATGTCTGGACGGCGCCGAGGCCCGGGCAGGGCTCGGAGAGGTCGACAACGACGAGGCACACGTGGCCCGATCTCTTCGAGACGCCCGGCGTCTGGGAGGGTCACCCTGGCGGAGGCTCACCCTTACGCGTAGCCCCCAGCGGCCGGCGGCGGCGCCGCGCCGCCGGCTCCGCCGCCGCCGCCGGGCCGCGCCGCCCGTCGAGCGGCGCGGCCGCGGCGGCCCGCCGAGGCCGTGGCCCAGGCAGCGGCCGCGGCCGCGGCGCGGCAGCCGCGCGCTCTGGCGGGGGCCGCGGCCGCTGCCGCCGGGGCGGCAATCGGCGGGCGGCCGCTGGGGGGCCTCGTTGTCGTTGCTGTCGTCGTCGTCGTCGTCGTCGTCGTCGTCGGCGGCGGCGGCGGCGGCGGCGGCGGCGTCAGCGTCGGCGACGGCGTCGGCGTCGGCTCTGTCGACGTCGTCGTCGTCGTCGTCGTCGTCGTCGGCGTCGGCGTCGTCGTCGTCGACGGCGTCGTGGCGTCGTCGGCGTTGCCACTGTGGTCGTCGTAATCGTCGTCGTCGTCGGCGGCGGCGTCGTTATCGTCGTCGGCGTCGGCGTGAGCGTCGGCGTCGGCATCGGCGTCGGCGCTGTCGTCGTCGTCGACGTCGACGTCGGCGTCGGCGGCGGCCGCTAGGGGGTCTCGTCGTCGTCGTCACATTCGTCGTCGCAATCGCCGTCGGCGTCGGCGTCGGCGTCGGCTTCGGCCGCGGGGGTGCTGTCGCCGTCAGCGTCGTCATCGTCGGCGGCGGCGGCGGCGGCGTCGGCGTCGGCGTCGGCGTCTGCGTCGGCGTCGTCGGCGTCGTCGGCGTCGGCGGAGGCGGTGTCGGCGTCGGCGTCGGCGGCGTCGTCGTCGGCGTCGTCGGCGTCGTCGGCGTTGTCGTCGTCGTCGGCGGCAGCGACCACCGCGCAAACGAACGTAATTCGAGCGTTCTGCCGTGATGGCGGGCTACCCTGCAAGCAATTACTTGTGTGAAAGGCCACTGCCCCTTTACAAAGGCAAGGGATTAACTAAGAAGCGAGAGCCATCGATCCACACCAAAGCGCGCTCGTGCGGCCGCTTTCTGGAAACAGCCGTCGCCTCATAGAGTGTACATAGCGCCACTCGAGACGTAATCGTATAGTGTTGTTGCATCATTCCCTGCAAAGCAGCTCCTCTTCGAAACGGGGCTCTCGCCTGAGTGGCGGACTCATCGGGAAGCTGGTCTTTAAGGGGACGCTGCTTATAGTGAACAGGAAGGCTTGTAGGGACTTGGGACGAGAGGGTGCCTTGCAGCATCGCTGACTTCCCGCAAGGGTTTCCACAACAACTGGGAGGAACACATCGACCGATAGCTTGGCCAGACGTGGGTCCACCGTTTCGCCACACTTTCGAAGTCCGCGGGCGCCAAGTGGTGCAAGACAGTCAAACGCCGGTCGTGGCCAGCGGCGGGGAGACGTTTCGCCACACGGGCATTCCCAAAATGCAAGGGGCAGGGGTGGTTTGCCGCCGGCGTCTTCGATCCGCCGCCCCCATGGCCTGCGGAGAGTGTCGCTGCCGTGCCAAGCTACAGCCTCGGGAGAAGATTCTCCTGACGCTGGTCCACGGGCCAACGCCTGCTTGCAGCCGGTCGCTTGTGAGTGAGCGCGCGGCGACGTGGGCTTGCGCCACATAGCTGACATCACATAGCTTGCACGACGTATATACCGCCGAAAATGAGATCCAGAAAACTATGGTTTAAGAAACCTGGGCCAGCTTTCCAGAAGTTTCTTCAAACAACCCTGGGCCAAATTGTTGGTTTACTTTGGAGGGACGACTGTGCTTAAGAAACGGGGCCAGCTTTCCAGCAAGTTGGTTAAGAAACGTTGGCCCAGATGTTCAGGAGGACGTTCCTTAATCAGATACTCGATAGCAACCTGTGTGTGATTGCACCATGTAGTATACACCGCTTAGATTGTGTCAAAGAGCTCGCGTCACATACATCATCCACTCTTGGAAGAAATTCGATTCGACCCCCTTATCACCCCCCCGGGGTTATCCGTTACGCGTCTCGATTGGCAATTCATATATGATCGTGGTCCTTCGTTCATTTTCTTTATGAGTTCATACCATCCCCAGCCAGCCTGTATCGACCCCCCCCGCCATCCTCTGCAAAAAAGTACGCGCGCACACTCGTCAATCAAAAACCATAGATTATCATGAATCCTGTTGGAGAAAATATTTTTTTTTAACAAAAAAAAAAAAAAAAAAAAAAAAAAAAAAAAAAAAAAAAAAAAAAAAAAAACGGGACGAAGTACACGCGCGCGCGTCGTCGCTCGCGCATGCGAAAATCCTTCAAATCTTGCAAATTATTCCAAAAACCCTTTTGTTTTTCAAGATTTTCAGAAAATGCTACCAACCGGGCTTCGCGCGCGCGCACGTCGAAATCGCGCGAACGCCCCTACGCGTGTGCTGGGGTGACACGATCCGTGTCAAAAACACAATGCGAGCCACTCTCGCGCGTCTGCCGCGCGCGGATTTCGAATTCCAAAATCCTCATCATCGACGCGAAGACACCGTCATCGTCGTCGGCGTGATTGGCATCGGCGCCATCACTGGCCGTGCCGCCGTCACTGTCAGCAGCGTCACCAACATCGCTACTATCAGCATCGTGTCTACAATCGTCGACGTTGCCATGACACCGCACCCGCCCAAGTCGCCGACTCGCACTCAAGTGCCCGCTGGGATGTGCCGAGCGGTCAGCACCACCGCGGCCGCGTCGGTCGCGCCAAACTACCTGGCCGCTGCGCGCGCATGCGCGGGCTGGCGCGGCCGCAGAGATGCACCAGTCAGCGCCAAGCACTCATCGCAATCGCCGCCGCATGACGTTTGCAAACCAAGTTGCGGGTGGATGGGTGGGATGTTTGCGCGAGCAGTGGAGTGGACAACTCACTGCGAACTGAAACCAATTACACCGCATACCTGGCGCCACGTGGCTTGCACCACGTAGCTGACACCACGTGGTGCACCCGCTTTCTACTGAGCGGCGCTGCGTGGCGCCCTCTTTTGTGAGGCACCATTCTGAATCATATCAAACCAAGAATTAAAAGACGCTTCAGCCAAAGACGGGCCCAACTGCACAATCTGAAAATGTCTCAGGCAGGGCCCCGAACGAAACGACCCCAACCAGGCTCCATCCATTGACCTCAATCAAATTACACTAAAGGAGTGGATAACCCCAGGGGGTCCCACCGCAAGGTGTCCTTGGATTGGAAGGTTTGGGGGAGGGTCTGGGGCGCATAAGCATGCATGTGGTTGGGGCGCAGAAGCATGCATTCGTATGTCAATTTCTGCTCGGGTGCTGGTGTGGCGTTAGGAGAAATATTCCCGGGGTTGTGGTATTACTCGTTCGGGCCCTTGCACAAATTTCCGATGGCATCCAGCCCAATTCGCAGGCCCCGCGCAAAAGCAGCATCCCATGAGATGTTCCGTCCAAGATGGCTTCAAGATGGCGAAGATGGCGCAAGATAAGCTCCAATACGGGCCCAGGACGCTCCGAAGACGGACAAGATGGCCCCAACATGCCTCCAAGACGACCCACCCCCAAGACGGCTCACGATGATCTCAAGATGGCCCAAGATGGCCCAAGACACACCAAGAGGACATTCAGAAGGACCCCAGGAAGCCAGAATCACTGATTTCCGTCGGGTTGCTCAATTGTTTTCGCGTTATCGCCCTTTGGGCTTCCGGCCGCAAAAGATGGCTCAAGAGACACCCAGGGTCGCTCCAAGACAGCCCAAGAGGCAACCCGGGGAAGGGCCCAAGAGGGCCACAAGACGGCCCAAGAGGGTCTCAAGAAGGCCCGAAAGAGCCCCAGGAGGTCCCAAGACGGTCCAGCTGGGTCTCCGAGAGGGTATCGGAGGTGGCCAGGCGGTCCACAAGAGCATCCCAAGAGCCCCAGGGTGGCCCAAGAGAGACCTCAAAAGGGCCCCCGAGAAGGCCCAAACGGCATGAAAAGAATCCAAGAGAGTTCCACGGTGACCCCCTCCCCTCCTCCTCCTCCTCCTCCTCCTCCTCCTCCTCTTCCAGGAGGAGGAGGAAGAGGAGGAGGAGGAATCCAAGGAATCCATGAAAAGAATCCAAGAAGGCCCATTTCCCAGCGTTTCTGCCCCGCGGTGCCCCTCTAGCGCTGGGGGAGCACCCGGACCTCTCGCGTGGCCGCACCCTCGCGCGACACTTCACCACGCGGGCGCTTCCAGGAGGGCAGGGAGCGGCGGTGATTCGCCGGAGGCGTCTTGGATACGACCCAGCACAATCTGTACGAAAGCACTGCCACTACCCTAATGCACAATTTATTAGAAATGCAAGAAAGAGAAAACATCACACATTTTTACCTTGTTTATGGTGAAACAATGTAAAAATGTGAAACAAGGTGGGGGGTTGTTTCAAATGAGATACGGAATTTATTAAAATTAATTGGATTCAACAAAGAATTTTGTTGGGATTTTAATTTTTTTAAGTTCAGTGATTTTCTTGAAGTTTTTTGTGTGATTTTTCTTGTGCCCACCAAGAAAGCATACCCCTATCACCATTCAGACATGTCATGTTACACTTCGACGTTTCGATGCGCATTTCGATCACACGTTGATTTGGACCCCGAATTGCACTGCGACTTGCATGTCGAGTGTACGTATCGATGCGCATGCCGGTTTGCACATCGATTTGAATGTCGATGCGCATGTGAATTAGATGTAACTGCTGGCTTTGGTGTTCAATTCGGATCCCGAACTCCACTTCGCCGTGCATGTCGATGTGATGGTGTGGCTGCACGTCGCCTTGCAACTCGATCGCAAGTGGATGGATGCATGTCGGCTTGCAGGTCGATGGCATTTGGATTTCAAGCTCGCCTGGGACCTCCCACGGGACCGCGGCGAATCGACCTCGGAACGACCCGAGGAACAGCCGCGGGACAACCGCAGGACAATCCGCGGGGCAACCCGGGGACACCCACGGGACAACCCGCGGGAGAACCCGCGGGACCGCCCGCGGGACCACCCGCGGGACCACCCGCGGGAGAACGTGCGGGGCAGCTCCCGGGACGACCCACGGGACAACCCACAGGACAAGCCGCGGGACAGCCCACGGGACAGCCTCCCGGGAAAACCGCGGCACGCGGCGAGCCCCCGCGAGACGGGGACGGCACCACTGTTTGCCCCGCTTGCCGCGGCCTTGGCCGACACGACGTCGCCCTCGCGCAGCTCTGCCCCGCCACACGCTCCAGACGAACCGGAGCCTGACGCGACGCTCTGGTCAGGGCTGGACCTGAACGTCGTTTTTCGTCTTCTTTTCATGCTGTCGTTCGTCTTGCTCTCCCTGCTGTCCTGTGCCTCCCTGCCAGAACGAAAAAAAAAAAAAAAAAAAAAACAGCAGAGCCCAGCCGAAGTCCCGCAAAACGGCGTTTGGGCCCAGCCCTGGTTCTGGTCGGGCCCCCTCCCCTCGCACACTCCAGCCTCCGACCTTTCTGGATCCGCGCCTCTTCAGATCGATGGCGTTTTTTCTCATCAGGAGTGCACGCACGCTGGTGCGGAGAGAGCGGCCTGCACTGCAGCGCTGAAGGTCACTAGCGAAGGCCACTCTGAGCGAAAGACTTGCGAAGGCCGCCGTTGGGCGAGCCTGTCCTACCATACAACTGCCCCTCCGCGAAACGGGAGGGGGGACGAGCGGGGGCATGAGCCGCACGAAGGGGGCGCAGAAAGGATGAGCGAGGGGGAGGGGCTGGCGATCTGCAGAGTTCACCCCCCGCGGGCAGGTTCCCCGGCAGGGCGTGCCACTCAGCCTGGACCGAGCACTGGAGAAAATGGGACTCGCGCTCCCCTCGGCCGGGCTGCGTGCCCGCCTTCCGCGCCACGCTCTGCTCCGCGCGCGCGCCGGGGTCCGCACGCAGAAGGCCACACACACCGCGCCCGGCCACGGACATCAGGCCTGGCATGGTGCACGCGCGCTCCTGGGGTTATGCTGTTCCCGTCCTACTTAAGGACCACATCCCAGAAATAATTTCGAGCACCCAGAAAAGTGTCAAAAGAGTGTCGAAACAGTGTCGAAACAGTGTCGGGCGAGTGTCTCCCAGGGCCCGACACGTGAAAGCCCTTGAGCTTTGGTACTTGTTTGGGCCGCTCGAAATTCTTCCTGGTGGTCAACGCCAAAGTAGGTTGGAGCATCATAATCCTGGAGCCCAGAACAGCCCTGGCCAGGCACTGTGGGGGCGCGCAGGCGCCTTCTCTGTGGAGTCGACAACCTCCGCGAAACCGGCGTCAAGCCCCGGAGCCTCGAAGGGAGCTCCTGCCCGGAAGCCGCGCCCCGAAGGCCGGGACGGCCAAGCGCTTGTCGAGCCGGAGCAGCTGCGCCTCCACCTCCGCCACGGTCAGCACTCTCCACTCGCGAGCGTCCAGCAGCCGGAACGCCTGCGCAGCATTGCCCGTGAAGCCGAGCTGCGCCAGGCCATAATTCCAGTCGTGCAGCCTGAAGTGGTGCTCGCCCCTTCGGCCGATGCGGCTCAGCGCGTCCCGCAGAGGCATGTCGAGGCCAGCGAAGAAGGCTGCCAGCTTCACGAGAGCGTCCTTGTCGGACACCTGATCAGGGATGTCTGCATCTTCGGCGGGCACCTGCGACTTCCGCCTCCCCACGGCCAAGCGCCTTTTCAGCGCTGACGTCATGCCAGCGGTGAGCCCGGGAGTCTCGCTGCTGGACGCGTTCCTGTCACGTCGCATCTGGCCCATGCGTTGCAGCTGGATGAACCTCGTGAAACTCCGCATCTTCTTGGCAATGTCCAGGCCAGTGGAGCCCTGCAGCAGCTCGACCTCGATGCCGATGCGCTTGCAGTGCCTCGCCACGTCGTGGTGGAGGAGGGTGCGCAGGCGCTTGAGCTGGTCGGCGTCGCTGCCGGGCCCCTTGGAGGCGCTGCCGCCCGCGGTGATGGTGCCCCTGCCCTGGCCGAGGCCGCCGCCCTGGACCGCCGCATCCCCTCGGCCGCCGCCCGAGGCCTCGCCGGGACCGTCCGCACACGCCTCGCGCCGCGCGGGCGACGCCCCGCGCGGCGCGCCCCCGCTCTCGCCGCCCGCAGCGCGCCCGCGCCCCTCGCCGCGGCGCCGCGGAGCAGCGCTGCCGGCTGGCGGGGCGGCCCCGCCGGCGGGGCCGCCGGCCGCCGCGCGGCCGGGGCCCGCGGGCGCCGCGTCGGCAGGCGCGGTCGGAGCACTCTGCGGCCGCAGCGCGGCGGCTCTCAGCGCTGCCGCCGCGGCGGAGGCGCCGCTCTGCGGCGGCGGCGCGGCGCCCGCCTCCCCGGCCGCCGCGGCCGGGCCGGCGCTCTGCGGCGGCGGCGCGGTGGCTGTCCGAGGGGGGCTGCCAGCGGCCGAGGCGCTCTGCGGCCGCAGAGCGTTAGCTCTCCGGGGGGGGCCGCCAGAGGCCGAGGCGCTCTGCGGCCGCGGCGCGGTGGCTCTCCGAGGGGGGCTCCCCACGGCCGAGGTGCTCTGCGGCCGCGGCGCGGTGGCTCTCCGAGGGGGGCTCCCCACGGCCGAGGCGCTCTGCGGCCGCGGCGAGGTGACTCTCCGAGGGGGGCTCCCCACGGCCGAGGCGCTCTGCGGCCGCGACGCGACCGTTCGCGCGCGCGCGGCGCCATTGTGGAGCACGTGCAGGTCCTGGTGGCAGGGGTCTGCCGCGACCGACTGCCGTAGCTGCCGCCTGAACTCGAGGGCTTCCTGTCGGAGGGCGAGCTTCGACAAGTCCACCGCCAGCTCCTCGATGGCCTGCCGCTTCTGGCCCATGGCGTCCGCGCCGTTCACGGCGGTGTGGTACCTGCTCAGGTGCCCTTCGCCCCGCAAGAGCGCGGGGGCCGACAGAGGTCTGGAGCGCTTCTCGGCGCCAAAGCTCGCCTCCTGCGGCCTCGCCTTGGACGCGCGCCCGCAGCCCGGGCGTCGTTCTGGGTGCTGCTGGCCGTGCGGAAGGTCTGCTGCTGCTGACTGGAACCGCACCAGGTCGAAGCCCTGCCACCACATGGCACGGCCGTGGCAGCCCGAGCAGCCGACGTCAGAGGCACCGTGGCCTCGGGCTTACCATGGCGCGGGCCCCCGGTGGGCGGGCCTGGCGGGCCGCCGACTGACTGTCACCGCCTGAGCCAGACTACCGAAGGCGCGCTCCACCTGGGCACACGGGCACGACCGGCATGCCCGCTCCGTTCCCAGGAGCTCCCTGCCCCTCCTCCTCCGCCCCTGTCCTCCGGCCCCCCTGAGATCCGAACAACATAAGAAACGTCGCAAAAAAAATACCTGAGCCCCCGCATTCTGCTGCCTTTTGCGAGCCAGATCGATATGCGATGGCCTTGGGCCCCGCAAGAACAGGCGAAGAAGACCCGGAGTGAAAAGATGACGACGCCGGTCCTCGAGCTTCGCCCGCCTCTGCCCCCCACCCAGGGGCCGCAGGCCAGGCTGGGTGGGGAGGAGGAGGAGGAGGAGGAGGAGGAGGAGGAGGAGGAGGAGAGGAGGGAGAGGAGGAGGAGAGGAGAGAGGAGTCTAGAAGCAGGAGAGGAGAGGAAGGAGGAGGAAGGAGGAGGAGGAAGAAGGAGGACTGCCCGGCCGCCGGAGCGGGCCAGGCAACCGACCAGGCTGCTCGCGGAGCGGAGCCGGACATGCGGCGTCCCGATTTTTTCCGCACGGGGGGGCCCCCTGGAAGTCCCAGACCCCCTCGCGCTGTGAAAAAATCACGGCGGGGAGCTCTTCGACATGTTCGGCCTCCGGGGGGCCCCCTGCAGGGCCTCGGGGCGCAGGGCCGGTCCGGAGGAGGAGGTCCAGACCTCTGGCGGTCGACGTCGCGAAAAAATCACGACGTCGGGGGTCTGGGGTTAGGTCGGGCCTGTCCCCCTACAGGGGGGCCTTGGACGAAAAGTACAAAATACCCCAAAAATACTCACAAAAGATGTCCCCGAAAATACCCCAAAAATGGTCCCCAGACTATTTCTGTTGACTATTTTTGAATAGTCCCCCTGAGGGACAGGCCCGACTGAAGTCTGGGGTCCCGGCCCTCTCCCCGAGACCAGGTTCTCATCCCGAGTCGGTCTTCGGCGGTCCCGAGGCCCAGCGAGGGCTCCCAGGGGCCAAAGAAACGGCCAAGAGCCTCGCGCCCTGATCTTTCTACGACGCGATCGTGTCTGGGGACTGTTGGCGGCGAGCGAGGGGGGGGAAGTGAGAAGGAGAAGGCCTTCTGAGAAGGCGGCCGGACTTCTCAGAAGCCCTCGCGCCTTGTGAGAGGTCTTCTTGTCTTCGGGGGAGGCCTGGGAAGTTTCTCAGAGGGCCGGGGGACCTCCGAGCCCTCCGAGAAGGCCTTTTCCTTCTCCCTCCCCCCCCTCGCTCGCCGCCGAAGCTGGCCGAGGCGCCCGCCAGAGGGCGGCCTGCTCCCAGTCCACCGAGCCAGCCTCCGAGCCTCCCCCCCTGCATGGCCCGACGAGGGGGCCGCAGGGCGGACCGAGAGGCGCCCAAGGCGGCCCCGAGGCGGCCCGAAGACGGCCCCGAGAGGGGCCTCGGGGCCCAGGAGGGAGAGCACGCGGCGGATTTCCTACTCCTAGAGGAGGAGGAGGAGGAGGAGGAGGAGGAGGAGGAGGAGGAGGAGGAGGAGGAGGAGGAAGTCGGGCGTGTCCCCCTACAGGGGGAGCTTGGACGAGAAATCACAAAGCACCCCCCAAAAAACACCCACAAAATGCCCAAACATACCCCAAAAACCAGAAAAATCCCCCGGCTATGGTTGACTACTTGGGGATATCTTGTTCCCTGTGGAGGGACAAGCCCGACGTAAGCCTTGGGGCCCACGAGGGGAGAGCACTATAGACGACCTTCTGCTCCTATGGCCGACCTCCTGCTCCGACAGCCGACCTCCCATGGCCTAACAGCCGACCTCCTGCTCCGCGACCCGCCCCTCCACCTCTGCTGCGGCCACAGGCGGGCTCTGCCAGGGTACGCCTTCGCCCCGGATCCGCTTCGGGCTGTCCCGGGGCAGCTTCCTGGATTCCAGGCTTCAGTCAGGCCTGTCCCCCAACAGGGGGATGTTCGACGAAACATACAACATGCCCCAAAAATAATCAAAAAATAGTCCAAACAGTAGTCTGGGGACTTTTTTTTGAATATTGCTACCTAACAGCGAAGACTGATAGGTTTCTAATAGGGTCAAAAGAAAACATCTGATGACTCCCCAGGGGGGTCTGGGCGGCATCCGGGGAGCTGGGTCCGAACTTGTTTTCGCAAACAGTCACACACTTCGTGCTCTTCGACCTCCCAGAACTCCATTCCCGGGCCACATTCTGAATACCCGGAGCCAACTGTAGTCCACTTCGTGCTCTTCGACTTCCCAGAACTCCATTCCCGGCCCACATTTTGAATGCCCGGAGCCAACTGTAGGCCACTTCGTGGTCTTCGACTTCCCAGAACTCCATTCCCGGGCCACATTTTGAATGCCCGGAGCCAACTGTAGGCCACTTCGTGCTCTTCGACCTCCCCGAACTCCATTCCCGGGCACATTCTGAATGCCCGGAGCCAACTGTAGGCCACTTCGTGTTCTTCGAGTTCCCAGAACTCATTCCCGGGCCACTTTTGAATGCTGAGGCAGGCTGATGAGGCTGCGGCCGAGGCAGGCTGAGGCTGAGGCAGGCTGAGCCTGAGGCTGAGGCGGCTGAGGCTGAGGCCGAGGCTGAAGTCAGACTGAGGCTGAGGCTGAAGCTGGCTGAGGCTGAGGCTGAGGCAGGAGGCAGGCTGAGGCTGAGGCTGAGGCAGGCTGAGGCTGAGGCTGAGGCTGATGCAGGCTGAGGCTGAAGCAGGCCGAGGCTGAGGCCGAGGCTGAAGACAGACTGAGGCTGAGGCTGAAGCAGGCTGAGGCTGAGGCTGAGGCTGAGGCTGAGGCTGAGGCTGGCTGATGCTGAGGCAGGCTGAGGCTGAGGCTGCCTTTCCTTTGTCCATGCGACTGTCCGTGCCGCCTGCGAGCATCGCGAATGCGACTACGACTTGCGAGAACAGCAGAATTCTACAACTGGATTTTCATCTGAATCTTAAGGGGAATGCTTTCAGATATGCTTCTACACATCGCTGTTAGGTTGCTTTGCCGGGATAATTACCTAACAGCGAAGACTGATAGGTTTCTAGTGGGGTTTCTAGGGGGGTCGGGGCGGGACCCGGGGCGGGACCCGGCGCGGCTGCCGTCGAAGCCCAAATCGCTTGGGACATCCTCAACAAAATCGCTCTTGGCGCTGCTAGAACTCAATTCCCGGCGTACATTTTGGATGTCCGGAGCCAACTGTAGGCCACTTCGTGCTCTTCGACTTCCCAGAACTTCATTCCCGGCGTACATTTTGGGTTCACGGAGCCAACTGTAGGCCACTTCGTGGTCTTCGAGTTCCCAGAACTCCATTTCTGGCGTACATTTTGGATGCCCAGAGCCAACTGTAGGCCACTTCGTGGTCTTCGAGTTTCCAGAACTCCATTCCCGGGCCACATTTTGGGTGCCGGGAGCCAACTGTAGGCCACTTCGTGGTCTTCAAGTTCCCAGAACTCCATTCCTGGGCATTTTTTTTCAATGCCCGGAGCCAACTGTAGGCCACCTCGTGTTCTTCTAGTTCCCAGAACTCCATTCTTGGGCCACATTTTGAATGCTGAGGCAGGCTGATGCTGCGGCCGAGGCAGGCTGAGGCTGAGGCAGGCTGAGGCTGAGGCCGAGGCTGAAGGCAGACTGAGACTGAGGCTGAAGCAGACTGAGGCTGAGGCTGAGGCAGGCTGAGGCTGAGGCTGAGGCAGGCCAACTGTAGGCCACCTCGTGTTCTTCTAGTTCCCAGAACTCCATTCCTGGGCCACATTTTGAATGCTGAGGCAGGCTGATGCTGCGGCCGAGGCAGGCTGAGGCTGAGGCAGGCTGAGGCTGAGGCCGAGGCTGAAGGCAGACTGAGGCTGAGGCTGAAGCAGGCTGAGGCTGAGGCTGAGGCAGGCTGAGGCTGAGGCAGGCTGAGGCTGAGGCTGAGGCAGGCTGAGGCTGAGGCTGTGACTGCGACTGCCGTTGCCACTGCGACTGTCGTCGCGAATGCGACTACGACTGCGAGAACAGCAGAATTCTACAACTGGATTCTCATCTGAATCTTAAGGGGAATGCTTCCAGATATGCTCCTACACATCGCTGTTAGGTTGCTTTGCCGGGATAATTGTTTCGAGAGTCTGGCTCCGCCCATGGGCCGCCATGCCTCGGCCTCATGATTTTGCCCCCCCCCCCCCCCCCCCCCCCCCCCCTCTTGGATGCCCCCCTTCTTTGGCCGCCACCAGTATATCGCCCAGCGTTGTGACACGACATCCAGCAGGGAGGCGTTGCCGCCGATGGCCATGGTCGAGAGCCGGCCTAATCTGCCATAGCCCCGTCATCGAGTTTTATTTCGCTTAATATTGCTTTTGTCCCGGGCTTGATCCAGCCTGCTCCGGCTCAGTGGCTGCTTGGTCGGGTCTAGTCTAATATCAGGAGGGGTAAAAACACACAGACACAAATTATCGTCGACCCCCTGGAAAATATGGGAAAACATGGAAGGGGGGAAGGCAAAATCCCAGAAACTATAAAACATTATGGGGCATCCAGTTATTTGCGTGTATTTATTTGTGTGTCCCAGGGCCCCTTCATAATAGCCCTTCCTAATTCTCACGGAGACCTCCCAGGAGTTGCTTCCTAGAGCTTTCGCACAAAGTGGCTCCCCAGAGGTCTGGAGACCCCTCTCGCGGTCATCTTCTCTCCCTTCCCCACCGGCCGTTCGTCCCGAGTCGTCTTGTGTGACAGGCCCGGGGCCCGGGGAGGGCCCCGAGGGGCCGAAGATCAGAACCTCCCGTCGTAACTTTCCACGACGCGAGGCTGCCGGGGCCATCGTGCCGAGGGGGAAAACCGCTGCTCCCCGCACCTCTCCCAGGATGCGTTCCGACCAGAACTTCGAGGAGAATCCGGCCGCGGCGACCATGATGGGACTGATTTCCACCACCACTACCATATGTTGGAGAAGGAGGAGGAGGAGGAGAAAGAAGAGGAGGAGGAGGACCTCTCCCTCCAACCTATGGTAGTGGTGGTGGAAACCAAGCCCATCAGACCAGAACCAATCGTTCACGAGCCGCGCCGTCCGTGCCTCGCCCTCCTCTGGAGCCCGCCCCGCCGAGATTTTTCCCCGC